ATATATATATATATATATATATATATATATATATATATATACTAATCATAACCTGTGCCTAAAGACACGATAAAATATAAAATTCGAACGCCCAAAAAATCGATTTTACTATATTAAATTTTTTCAACATGTGTATATTATTGTATATGAATAATGTTTGAAATAAAAATTATATTAAATATAAATAAATTAAATATTAAATAATTAAACAAATAATAGAAATGAGTGATGTGATGTTTTTAAGAAAGAAATATATAAATGATTAAATATGTGATAGAAATGAGTGATAAGACTTGACATTTGAGTTTGACTGAGAGATGATGGGTGAGGTAAGTGATTGTTGATGATTTAGAGAGGGAAAAATATGACTGGGATAAAATTCAAAGTATGAACTGTTTTATTATATATATATTTTTTTAAAAAAAATTAAAAAATAATAAAATAAAATAATAAAAATAAAAATTTTAAATTAAAAAAAATATATATTTTTCATCTTAATTAAGGGTGAAAATTTTCGAGTCAACATGATGATATGACTCGAACTCAACACAAATTTTATGACACGAACTTGATTATAATTCGACACAAACTTGAAAATGACATGACATGCAAACAAAAAATGTAAAAGACTCATAATTTTATGACTCAATATGAATTTGACACAACACGACTCGATTTTCACCCCTAATATTAAACAAAAAGAAAATTTTAAAATTTGTCATTTTTATTTTTCATCTATCCAACCAAACACAAAAAGAATAAAAATTTATCATTCTTATTTTTCATTCTTAAAGCATAAAAAATGCATCTTTTATACTTTTCATTCTTATAGCAAACGGAGCACTAGTAAAACTATTGTGAGGGTCAGTAATTCTACAATAAGATCGAACAAATCAATATTGTCTGATACTTGTCCAAACTGACTATGGTGCAATTCAAATGGATAATTCAATGGACGACTAGCATAATTTCTGACTCGCCCATATTTACCGAAGTATTAAGCAATTATAAGATATTGCTTTAACCCGTTATTCGAGGAGGGCGATAATTATTAGACTATTCAGATAGTCCAAGTATCACGGGATCACTTCCCTAAAAGTACTTAGTTGAAGACTTAAAGTGCGTTCGGCCAGATCACCACCAGTCGTTTATTTTACAGATTCACGCAAATTCTAGTGCATCTTAACAATTTACAGATTAGACTAACCAAATTTTAGGTTTAAATTTAGAATTTAAATAACATGACAATTGATTTGAACTTTTTTATTTAGTGTTATGTCATTTAAATCCTAATAAAAATTTCAAATAACATAATGATATAACATTATTTTTTACCGATTAGATGGCCTTGAAGTAAGGCCACGCGTTAAAGAATCACACAACACGTGTACCACCTGGGCTTTGAAAAGAAAATCCTCCTTTTATGGAAGTGTTGTTAATAAAATTTGGAAGTTTCCATGGAATACAACATAGCAAAACACAAGCTAGTCGCCACCGAATACATGTCCATGAGGACATCCGTGTCCTTATATCATTTGTGTCAGCTTTTCGGCATCCATAAAACCTCTACATTATTACCGCCGACAAGGAGGATTGTTGGCACAATCAATGAACGATTCTACATGCATGATACTTCCTTACTCTGTCCTTCACAACGATATTTCAATAGTTGTGGTAGTGACTAGATATAGCTCTTGCTATTCTTTCGGGTACTTGGCCCTTCATGCCCACCTTTACATGTTAAGTATGGTGATTCTACCATTGACACTCATGCAAAATCAACCATTTCTTGTCTCTTTGACCGGCAAAGTTAGAGTTAAGGTAGAACTATTATCTAGATCAAGCAATAATGGTCGGTCTCAAAGATCATCAATTGATCCAAAAGAATTGGTACACCATTTATAATACAACATGTAGAGACTCTCTTTGATATGGTATGAATTCTGCACTATCATTCCCGAACACGAACGATGGGCAGTTGCTGGCTCGAGGGACATCCTGATCCCCATATTGGCCAATAAATCATATTATGCATCAACAATCAAAACGCGACCAGGTTAAACAAGTACTCCCTAAAATTATGCGCACTTACTGAAGTTACTGGGAAACTTTGGAGAACATGAGCTTGTATTGGCCAGCAGTTACGTATTGCACAACAAAGAGCTACTTCAAAAGACTACATTATGTCGACATGGACACGTTATAAGAACCCGAAGGATTATACTTTTGGAGCTATCATCTGACCATGACACTTATGAAGCTAGGCAGTCACCTGGTGACAAAGAGTTCATGTGATCAAGAAAAGCAATTCACGTCGCTCCTCACCTTTTGATTTTTTTTAGCTCGAATGCCTTCGAACTAAGCGAGGAAACTAATTCCCTTAACATTTGTGCGTGCAGGATCTTGCACAATATAAATACGATGACAGATCTCTCCCGTGGTGAATTTGAGTCAGTCAATTGAATGGTCCACCTTGCTGCTTGGAACAATCTGTGAGGTATAATGGTGGTCTGGAACGGTAATGGGTGACTCTCGTGGATTAATGGAGCGGTCCAGTAAGGCTGAGGGAGCTTCCTGGAACAGAGGAAAAAAAGTTAAGA